CTGTTGTCCGTCGGCGGCTAGGCAAACGTTACTGCTCCGGCGATCGGGCATCAGTGGGGCGCGCTAAATGCAAATTTGGGCCACAACGCGCACGCACACACCCGAGCACACACACACACACACACACACACGCGCGTACACACTTACACACACACACACTCGCACACGCGCACACACGCACACGTACAAAACCGCACACACACACACACACGCACACACACACACACACACACACGCGCACGCACGCACGCACACACGCACGCAGGCGCACGTACATTTTTGCGTCGGCGGCTGGGTAAAGGTCATTGCTCCAGCGGTCGGGCATCAGTGGGGCGCGCTAGATGCACGTTGGGCCGCAACGCACATACAAACACATACCCACGCGTACACACACACACACACACACACACGCACACACGCGTACACATACACCCACACACACATGTTTTGGCGGTCGCGGCCTCGCGCGCGGCGACGAGGCGGAGCAAATCGAGTAACAACACGCGCATGTTCTACGACGCGCCGCTGGGTCACAAATGGCGGCCAGCCCCGTTATAGGCGGGACGCGCGCAGCAACAAAAATATGGTTTCGTAGAAACGATAACAACCACGAAACAAACATGCACCTTTCCCCGCACGAGCGAAGTGGAGCCACCACTGCGATGGCAAGATAGGTATATAGGGGTGCGACCGAAATAATACAGGCCCAAGCGTCATAAATTGAGAGGCGACCTAAGCGAACCAGGCCCACCGTCGTGCAAGAGCCAGAGGGCCTCCAGGAAGAACACGTGCGCAGGCCGCCGCTAAGCGGCGGCGAGTGAACCGACCCGCCCCAAGAGAGGCACACGCACGCACACGCACACACACACACGCACGCACTCTTTGATCAGACGCGCCGAGGAATCCCATCGCCAGATGACTGATGCCAAAGAAAATTGCACGTCTTGCGAAGAAGCGCGGCTCGCGTGAAAAACCCGCGAAAAAGGGGGGACGGCATTGGCGACGGCAGGGGGGAAACGCCAGGCGGTGCAAGACAAAAGGCACCCAACCAGCAACTGTTCGAGCGCCCCGGGCCAGGCGCGCCGCCGGCCGAGAAGTCGGCCCGCGGGCGCGCGGGCGCGGACGAACACGAAAAAGAACAGCAGCAAAACTCGCGCGATGCACCAATGGCCCAAACCGACCAACATCAAACCGACAAGCGGCCGCCGCGGCAGCGGCGGTCGCCGCGGCGCAGGATGCGCCGGCGGCGGCCGCAAGGACAGCAGCGCGGGCGGCAGTGGCCCAGCGCAGCCGCCGCCACGGCGCCGCGGGCCCTCCCCTCCGCCGCAGGCGGCGGAGGGGGCGCCCGCCACTGCGCCGGAAGGGAGAGGCGCCCCCTCGGGCCCCGCGGCAGCGGCCGCCGCGGCCCCCCTCGAGCCAAAACGGCTTGAGCCAGGGGGGCGGCGGTCCCCGTCGAAAGCGCACAAAACACACGCGCGCGCACGCGCACGCACGCGCACACGCGCGCGCGCACTGTCTGGCGTCGCGGAGCTTCAATGGCAAGCCGGGCGGCCGGGCAACGAAGGGGCGCGGCAGCGACGCAAACCGGGAGAGGCCGACCTCGCAAGGGCCGCCAAACAAACCGACGAGGACGGGAAGAAGCGAAACAACATACACCGCACCACTACACACGACAAGGTTTAGGTGGAAGGTCACGGGGCCCTCCCGTGGCCTCTATGTGCTCCTGATGTTCGTTGCAGTTATGTCTCACTTTCGTTGTGTTTCGCTGCTTGGTCGGCTCGATCCAAAGCGCGGAGCCGAGATGGCAACGGAAGTGCTCGAGGGCTGCGGGAAGCCCCCTGGGGGTCGAGAGGCGGCCCCTTCTTCAAATCGAGACTCCCACCCGAGCCCCGCCCAACGCCCCCTCGAGGCATCTCAAAGGGGGGCGCCGTGCGAGGCGGGCCTCAGAGAGGAGCGGCTCACAGGGGAGCTGGAGAAGGCCCATAAGGCCCCCCCCCTGAATTGTAAGAGGCGGGAGACCGTTGCATTCTGCATCGCCGAAGGTTCGAAGGAAAAAAGGCGGAAGAGGAACAGGAAGGGCGTGGAAAGAGGAGGAACAAGAGGATTGGGAGGAGGGTGAGCAGGAAGAGGGGCGGGCATTGTCGGGCCCTCGACTATTAGGACAACCCACCCGTCGCCTCCCCATCGGCTGGCCGGTGGCCAAGAGTGCGGCGCGAGCGAAAGTGCCAAACCTCTCACCCCAACCGCGCCGCGAGATCTGCGCCGCGTACCGGGCGGGAAGAAGGGAGAACAGAGATGGAGGCGCGCGTCGAGGGGGAGGGGGGCGTAGAAGAGGAGGGGGGCGACGAGGACGACGAGGAGGCGGAGGAGGCGGAGGAGGAGGAGGAGGAGGCGGAGGAGGAGGAAGAGGAAGAAGAGGAAGAAGAGGAGGAGGAGTAGGAGGAGGAGGAGGAGGACGAGGAGGAGGAGGGGGAGGAGACGGAGGAGGAGGCGGAGCATGAACACATGGCGGTGAGAAAAGATGAGATAGGACGAGGGGGAGCAGGTCACCAAGAAGGCGAAGAGGCTGATAGAACGACCAGGGAGAGGAAGGGTGAGAGGACGATGGCGAACGCGGTGCGAACGGTACTAGAACGAAACTGGGGGAAAAAAAAACCTATTATTGGACACCTGAAATAGGTCCCGAGACCTTGCACCTAACAAACTTATTCGAGACCAAGTTCGCGAGTCAGTACTGTAGTTGATGCATGTGCACCGACTGCACCCAAGCTTGTGGACGAATGTTGCCTGCAAGGACACCTGGATGGATGCACAATGTATGTCGGCGGCACGGCAGCGGCAGTCCGCAACAGCGTGTGGAGTTTCGGGGCAACCGAAAAGATCCTTGGCCGGAAGGCATGCAATAGCGACACAAGCACTCACACACACCGACAACACACACAATCACGAGCACACGCGAACACAAACACACACACACACACACGAAACTTGTTCCTCCCTCCATGGGCCGAGAAGCGTCACCACAGCGATGGATAGACAGGGCCATGCGCTGCGGGTGAGTGGCTGCGCTGGGCGAGCGGGCGTGCACGATGAGATATACTGACAGCCCAGGAAGGCAGGCAAAACCACCGCGTGCAGGCGTGCAGCAGAACGTTGAGACGGCAGCGACACACATACACACAACACACACACAACACACACACATACTCACAACACACACGCACGCACGCACACACGATGACTGCAAGAGGCACAAGTACACGCACAGTCGGTGCACACGTCTGCGGACCACCCTCAAACTCCTCAGGAACGGGCGTTCCTGCACCGAGGGTGTAGACCAGACCCCAAGAATGAGTCCTTGGCGAAGCAAGGACACAAGGCCATCCCAACCTGATGAAAAGTCTTGTGCGCGGCTTGGGCGCATTGCCACGTGCGCGATGGCACCTTGAACGCGCCATCCCGCTTATCCAACTGCCTCGCGACAACCCCGAGGAACCTCCACACACAAACACACACACACACACGCGCGCGCAAAAACACACACACACACACACACACACACACACACACACACGCACACACGCACACAAACACACAAACACACAAACACACAAACACACGCACACACAAACACAAGCACAAACACAAACACACACACACACACACACACACTCCGTGAGCAGCAGCAGCAGCAGCAACAGCAGCTCCCGCCCGGGGGGGGGGGGGAGCCGGAGGAGGCGCCGCGGCCGTGCACCCACGCGTCCTGGCCAACGGCGCGCGGGCGCGAGCCAACAAAAAAAACAGCAGGCCCCCCCCATTCACCACGGCCCGTGGCGGCCAGGGCGCTCGCTGTGGCTCCTGGCGCGAGGGCGGGCTGTCGTCGCCAAGCCGGCACCGTCGCTTCACGGCCGCCGTCGGCATCGCGACCGCAATCGTCATGCCGTCCTCCTCCCCCATCCATCATCTCCGCGCCTGCATCCCCGCCGCCGTCCTCAACACCACCATCGAGCCATTCATCCGCACCACGGGCAGCAGCAGCAGCAGCAAGGGCAGCAGAATCAGAATTGTCGCCCTCATCATCGCCATCATCACCAGCCGCATCGGCCACATGATCAGCATCGTCGGTTCGTCCCCGTTGTCCTCGCCATTGTCACCGGCAGTGCCTTCATCAACGCACGCACCGTCGCAATCACCATCATCCTAATCATCTTCATCATTATCATCACCATCACCACCATCATTGTATCGAAAAGTTCCCTGGGAGGCGACTTTGCACAGCAGCACCACACAACCAAAACCTTGGGGCATCGCAGAAGCGAGTGGGATAATGCACTGGTAATGAGGCCCTGGCCCCTCGGGTCCAGGCCCACGTTGCCTTCATACAGACTGGCCCACCCTCGCGGCGCGCAGCCAGTCGGGTGCCCCGCTTCGAAGAACCGCCGGGAATTCAGGGCTGAGAAAGCGCACAGGTGCCAGATCAGCCGCGAAGAGGAAGTCCTGGAGCCCGCTGCCCCAGGCGGGCACCTGGGCACGTTGCTCCGCCCCCGCCCGTCCCGCACCGCGACCACTGCGGCCAATGCGACCACGACGACCCCCTCCCTTCCAAACATGTTGTAATTCACCCCAGGCAAGATTGCTACCGAGTGGGACCTGTGGGATGAGGGAAGAAAGGTGGGTCTGCACGGAGTTGATTTCACCAGGGACAGTAGCAGGTAAGACGCTCTTGTCCATCAGTTCTCAACGCCTGAACCTCGACCACATACCGCCCATCACACCACTTTTCCTCCGACGGACGCCCGGGCATCTCTCGCGACCCCCTGCCGCGCCCGATCGGCCCCGGGCACGCGGGCGTCTCCCTCGCGGGCCCGGCCCCTTGGAGCCAGGACCCACGAGCTCCTGCCCCTCTTCAACTCCTTCAGGTGCTCCGACATGGCTGCTCCGATCGCGGCCCCAGGAACCATGATTGCTGAACGTCGTCGCCACTGGTCGACATGTGCCGCCTTTCTCCTCCGTCGCCCTGTTCCAGCGGTAGCGGAGGCGGTTGCAATCGCCCTCGAACTGCTTCGGCGTTCGCATCATAACCTGCCCCTTCCAGCACATTGCCGTCAGCTTGCATGCCGCTTCCGTCGGTTTCTCGCCCGCTGGGCTGATCTGCCAAATCGTCCAGCACGCCGCCTTCGTGGCTTCGTGGAGCACCTGATGTGCGGGCTGCCTCTCAATTGGAAGTCCACCGCCCCCCCCTGCGATGTTTCGCCGTGAGCGTCTTGCTCTCCGCGCCGCACGCCAGCCTGTCCTCGCACGCCGCCGTCTCCATTTTGCTCTGCTTCGCATTGGGCCTCCTGCCCTCCGCGTCGCACACCTGCCCCGCGATCGCCAGCTGCGCCCCCGGCATGTCTTGGCCCTCGCCGACAGCGAGGTGGTCGCGCGCGCGTCTTGAGATCGGCGACCTGTCGCCTCTGTCACCGGCATCTGCGCAAACGCATTGCGCGGGCCTGCCGCGCCGCCGCCGCCCGCGCTCGCGCCCCCACCGCGCCCCCGCTTCATTGCCCCCCTTAAGCCAGTCGGGTATATCTGGGGCCGCCATCGCGCGACCCCCCGCGCCCTGGGCCAGGTCGCCCAGCTGCAGCTGCCCACAAGAGGTGGCTCGATCCGAAGTGCGCCCTGAAGTCGCCCAAGTCAGCCCCCCTCGAAATTGCGCAAATCGCAGGCGATGTTGGGCGGCGATGGGGGTGCATGATCCCGCTGTCGCACCAAACGCACCGCCCCCTTCTGGAGGTCCCCGCTGACATCCTGCCCGCTGGGATGCTCTGCTGGATCGTCCAGCGCGCCGCCTTCGTGGAGCACCCGTTGTGTGGATTGCCTCTAGATTCGAAGTCCGCCGCCGCCTCCGCCTTGCTCTGTTTCGTCTTGAGCCTCTTGCTCTCCGCAAAACACTCCTGCCTCGCGATCGCCAGCTGCGCCCCTGGCATGTCCTCGCCCTTGCTGACAGCGAGGTGGTCGCGCGCGCGCGCACCTTGAGATCGGCGACCTGTCGCGCCCTTCTCATCGGCATCTGCGCAGTCGAATTGCGCGGGCCTGCCGCGCCGCCGCCGCCCTCGCTCGCGCCTCCGCCGCGCCCCCGCATCTCATCGCCCACTATTCGGCGTTTCCGACCCAGGGGGCGGCCCGCTAGACCTCCTGTGATCCAATGGAGCACGCCGAGGGCCGCCATCGCGCGCCCCCCCGCCCCCTGGGGCAGGTCGCCCAGCTGCAATCGCACGCGAGAAACGGTTCGAGCCGGAGTGCGCCCTGGAGTCGCTCAAGTCAGCCCCCTCGGAATCGCGCGCATCGCCTGCGGGAGATGTCGGGCGGCGATAGGTTTGCATGGCACTGCTGTCGCATCTACCGCGCAACTCCCGCTGGAGGCCCCCGTCGAAACACTTCGCTGCTGTCATCTGCCCTGCAAGCGCTTTGTCACACGCGCGCAGCGCCGCGTTTTGTCTGCCGGGATGCGCCAGAAAATGCCCCGCAGCAGGTGCGCTGCATCCTCCTGGCCAGGCCCCGCACGTGGAACTCCGCCTTCGAGCCGAGGAGGAGCGGCCGCGGTCGCGCGCTTGCTCGCCAAGTCGCGGTCCGCCTCCTGCTGCGATGCTCTGCTGAACTCCTCGAGCAGCTCCTCGCCCTCGCCCGCCCCCAAGCAGCCCCCTCGACGTTCGCGATCGCTCGCTTTCCGCAGGGGGGCGCCGCACCAACGCTGACGTTGCCTGGAACCCTGGTGGATCAGCGACAAGCGTCGAAAGTAACTGAGCACGCCGACGCGGTCGTTGCGCCCAGCTCACGAAACCATCTCGACGGCGCCCGCAAACTTTCAGCGCGCTGGGATCTGCTCTGAAGCCGCGCTCTCCACGCCGCCACTATCGCTCCACTTCGTCACCCCGCGCCCCCCCCAACCATCGCCGCGCGACCAAGCCGGCCCGCGGGCGCGTCCAGGCATCGACGCCGCGCGTCCGACTGAACGAAGCGCCGCGCCTGCGATCGGCGCCCCCGCCGCCGCCACCCGGACGACAACTCGCTTCCACCTCCGTGTCGACGACGACTTTCAGACGCCCCCCCTCGCGAAGACCGCGGTCCTCGCCGCTTCGCATCCCCTCGGAATCTCGACCTCCGCCGTGCACTTCGGCGCGACGAATTGCCGCGTCGCCTGGCCCCCCCGTGCCCCGGCCCTTCGGCCGCCCCCTGCAGGCCGCGGGCCCGGCGCCCGGGCGGCGCGCGTTCGCCGCTGCGTCTCCCAAGCGCGCCGCGCGCCCAATTCGCCCGCGGACGCGCCCGGCGCGTCGCCCGCCCCCCCCCCCACCTCGCCTCGCCCCGCAACCGCCAACTTCAGCGCCGCCCCCATCGCGGTGGCCCCGACCCCCCGGCAAGCGGCGTCTGCTCTGGCCGCCCGCGCCGCGCGCAGGCGGGCCCGCCCCGAAGTCCACGATCGGCCCCCCCCCCTCGCTCGCGAGGTCGGCAGCAGGGCGCTGATCTCGCGCGCGCCGGGCCCACTGACTGGCCGGCTCTGCGAAGGCCGCGACAGAGGCGCCCACGCCGCGAAACCCCGCCTCCGCTTCAAGGCCAGCGCCCCTCCCTCACTGCGCCTTCCATTTGCGAAGCCGTAGCTCTGGGCAAGCGGCGGGGGCGTCGAGCGTTTCGCCGAAGGCTTCACCCGCGCCCGCTTGTCAACGCGTCGACATTATGCCCGCCGCCTTGCCGTTCTGCTCGTGCACCTCCACTGCCCTGCTGCTGCGCCAACACAACGGGGCCAAATTGGCGCGCCTGGTCTGCGACGTGCCGCGGCACGACGCACTCCTGAACATCCGGCCAGGCATCAGTTCCAAATTCCCGACTCCGCGGATCTACTTGGCCGTCTATTTCCCTGCGTCCAGGACCACGGACCAGAGCCCCAGCAGAGCAGCGCTAGGTGGCACGACTCTCCTATGCGGCGCTTTCCTCGCGCATTTCGCCATCCTGCCCGTGCCCAATTTGGCCAAGTCGTTCAGTTCCTCCGTCGCCGCTGGGGCCTCCTGAATTCCTTCGTGCCTATCCCGCCGCTCGCCCCACCGTAGGGCCGATGCGCCTGCTCCTTCTACCCCCTGCCATGATCGTCTACATTGCGTCATCCTCTCCTCGCTGTCCAATGACATCGGTGCGAATTGGCGCCTGGCTGGCTGCTTTGCTCCGAACCTGCATCTTACCGCCGTACGCGCGTCTTCCACCCGCTGGCTACGCGGACCCGCGCTGCTGCCGCCACTCTTGCACTTTATGGATGTACCCCTCTCGCTGCTGGTCGGGCTCACCTCTGCCGTGTCCCGTGCCGTGGGCCACCACGTTCATCGTCGCAGTGGGGACGCATTTGACTATTGGGTTTGCGTTCATCTGGTTTGCGTGATTCTGGGAGCTCATTTCCAGAAGGGTCAGCAGGAGGCCCCGAGGTGGGAACCCCTCGGTCGCCGGCACCTTGGCCCCAACATTGTTCAGGACACGCACCTTCTACACCCCCTCCTGGTTGCCCTGCGACACGTAAGAACAGTCGATGGTAGTACGTCATCCTTGCCTCCCCTCACTTCGGGGACCTGCTGACCCGGGTCAATCCAGACCCGGGTCCGTCATGCATTGCAGAGTCCTGCAAGATCCTGCAAAATCCTGCACCCAAACCCGGGTCAATGCGAAGGATCCTGCAAGATCCTGCCGGATCCTGCACCCAAACCCGGGTCAATGCGACCCTGACCCTGCAGGATCCTGCAAGGTCGGGGCGCTCTGGCTGACCCCCGTTTGCACTGACCCCCGTCTCGAGGCTCCCGATCACTGCCGCTCGCAAAGCACGTCGGCTCGGGACTGCTACGAAGAGTCGTGGATGCCGCCATGAGCTGTTCATCAGACGCTTGCCTTATATGTGCACCTGCTGGCCGTTTCCGTCGTTCCGGCGCGTGACTGCTGCCATCCCCGCCCCATTTGTCTGCACCCTCACCCACTTCTCACCTAATGTTGACATCCCTACGCCACCATTCCTCTCCACACAAAAATACACGGGAGCCTCCGCTGTTCGTGCACGGTCCTCGCTGGGTCCTTCCACCCTGCAGCAATATGCCGCCTCCTTCTCTGAACCCCGCTTCCGTGCCCACCAGTATCAGCGCATCCGTCGTTGGAGCAGCAAGGGCTTGTTCCGCCGGTGGCACTTCCGCGGGCGCGTGCAGCGGGTTCAAGCCCACCAGCCGCCGCAGAGGAGGCGGCACCATCGACCTCGTCACGTCCGCCTCCACTCCCACTTCCCGGCGGTGGACCGCGACGCACATGGGACTCGTCTGCTGGTGTCCCCGCCCCGTCTGTGCCATCTCTGCAAATGCTCGATCGCGCGGGGGCCATCACCATCAGCAACATCATCATCAGCAACATCATCATCATCATCATCATCATCATCATCATCATCATCATCATCATCATCATCATCATCATCATCATCATCATCATCATCACCATCATCATCATCGTCATCATCATTGTCGTCATCATCAGCATCAACGTCATCATCACCACCACCATTACCACCACCACCATCATGATTATCAGTATCAGTATCATCAGCACCATCATCATCAGCATCTGCATCATCATCGCCATCATCATCACTTTCGTCATCATCATGAGCGTCATCAGCAATTCGCCGGCCCAACGGGCCAGAGGCGTGCTAAGATCTCTGGTAATTGGTAAACAGTATTTCTAGTTCGCGCGCGCGGGGCGGCCCCTGGGGGTCCCTGGATCAAAAATACCCCGGGAGGAGCCCGGGACACGCCCGGGACACGCCCGAGGCACGCCCGGGACACTCCCCCAGATCCACCAGGATCGCCCCAAGAGGGCCCCAAGAGGCCCCCAACACAATCCAAGAGAGGTCCGAGACGCCCGAAGATCGCTCCACGGCGCCCAAGATTGCCTCCAGACGGCCCAAGACGTCTCCAAGATGACCCAACAAGCCTCCAAGATGCCCCAAGAGGCCTCCAGGAGCACTCCCAAGAGGGCCCCAAGAGGCAAAAATCAATGTTTTTTCTTAGGTTTTGGACAGATTTGGGCGTTTCAACCTTTTCGGTTCCCCGACGCCCCTAAACGGCTCAAGAGGCCTCCAAGATCGCCCCAAAGAGGCAAAAATCAATGTTTTTTCTTAGGTTTTGGACAGATTTGGGCGTTTCAACCTTTTCGGTTCCCCGACGCCCCTAAACGGCTCAAGAGGCCTCCAAGATCGCCCCAAGAGGGCCCAAGAGGCCCCCAAGAGGGCCCCAAGACGGTCCAAGACGGCTCCAAGACGGCCCCAGAGGCCTCCAGGACGGCCCAAGAGGGCCCCAAGAACGC